GAAAGCAATGCCTTCTCCAACAGAAACTACACGCAAACCTGCGAGGCACGCGAAGTGAGGCTTTATGGGAGAACACCTGCACAGAGGGCGGCCCACACCTGCTCCTTCAGGTGCTCCTTCACCTCTGAGCACAGGCCTTCTCCCAGCAGAGGTGGGCTCTATTGCCCAGCCCTTCAATCCGGCTGGCCTGCTGACTTGCCTCAACCAACAGAGTGTGGCTTCAGGCCCAGGCCTAGCGAGGCCTTGTGGCTTTTCTGTTTGCTCGCTCAATAGGTTGGCCTAGACTACCAAGTGCAGAGGAGTCATATGGAGACAGAGGGAGAGAGGCCTGAGGAAAGAGGATCAAGGTGTCCCAGCTGACAGCTGGTACCCAGGTTTTAGACATGTGGACTAAGGCCATCTTGGATCTTCCGGCTGTAGTCAACCACTCTAGCAGATACCACATGGGACACACAGGAGCCCTCCTCAAATTTCTGACCCACAGTATTGGGAGAGAAAAAAAAAATCCTTGCTATTTAAGTAACTAGGTTTGGAGATGATTTTTATGCAGGAATAGGTAATTGAAATAGGCATCTTAAGATTTTCTGTGTGTGTGTGCGTGTGTGTGTGTGCGTGTGTGTGTGTGTGTGTGTGTGTCTCCAATGACTAGATGCCTAGGTTTCTAAACCCTCTCTTGGTACTAACTTCTGTTATTGGGTGCCTCCTAATTTTATTCCAAGGGACCAAGTCAGTATCTTCAACAAAATGTTAACAACACGACAGAGGAGTATGCCAGTAATTGCGGTGGACATATATTTAAGACCTGTATTCAGATTTGTTTCAAGCAAGAGGGCATAGACTATATCGCATGCTTCTTACCAGGGGACAGGATGGAAAGATGCTGTTGGAAAGTGTTTCTTCAACTGGGGTTTTGGAATTTTGTGCTACTTGTGATGCTAGTTAGGAAAGTCATCACTCATGGACATTTGTGTATGTATGCATGTTTCTAGAAACCTACAGTCAAGCCCAAGGGAATGCCCTTTAAATATTAACTAAGATCTTAATAGTGTAAATTTTAAAGAACAAATCTTTGACAGTAGTCATCCGAGGACACAAAAGCATTCTGGGTTTGATGACTGAAGTTCAGTTCTACTAGGAAGAAATTAAAGCGTCATCTTCAGAAAGCCAGGGACCAGAGGACAGCCATAGATGCTTAGGATTCCTGTTAGGTGAATCTAACCAGTGCTCATTTTATGCCAGACCAGCACTAAAGGTACATGTAAAAAGGAGTCTAGCAGACTTACTCTAAGCTGTTTTTACCAAAAAGGCGAATCCGATGAATATGAAGAACTTTCTCCCCAGAATAAAGTACCTATCCAGGCCTTGCACACTTCTGCCCATCCTGGACCCCAGATGAAAGACCTCTCTCCAGGTGGCACACTAGCTCCCTCAGGACTAGAGACAGGCACTCTGGTGTGGCCCTCGTCCCAGAAATGTTTTCACTCATACTCTTTCATCACTGGCTCACATATAATGAAGCACTGTACTACTCTCTTAATGCTATAGGTACCTTAACAGATACACAGCTGAGAGAAACATAATTCATAATCCACCAAACCAGATGTGTATTTTCCACCAGGTCCTGCCCATATACTTACAGGCCTGACCATGCACTTCATATTTCATTTCTATTTCTGTGTTTTGTGCCCTCGGCAGGACAGCTGCTCGTTTATACACGTTTCAATATTGTTTTAGCACTTTCTGGTCCTTTTCTCTATCTTATGACTTTGGAATATGCGTGCTGGCTTTGAAGGCCCCAAGACACCAAAAAGAGTTACAGTTCAAAAATCATTAGACACTGTCCTTTGGAGAGATGGGAAATAAACTGCTCATTCCTCGTATATCTGTCTCAACCTTTAATAGTTTATTCAGGAAAGATTAAACTATAAAAAACATTATTTTGGGAGAGGAGAACATGTGACATTCAGAGATAGACTTGAGCTCTATTTTCAGAGAACTCTGTTAAGACTGCTAAAAAACAATGGTTTTCCATTAATGAACCTTACTTCATGCCAGACTCTTGGCTAAGTTCTTTATAGATCATCTTGTTTAATCCTCACAGCAATTCAACTGAAGAAACATGGCAAACTCGCCAGCTGGTCATCAAACTTGCTGCTCCTTGCTGTGGGCACCCAGTTCAGTCACTTTCCCAGCCTCCCATGCAGTTAGATGTCACCATATGACTGACTTCTGACCAATGGGATGTGGAACAAAATAAACATCTTGAAGGCTTAGTCTGTGCACTCTTAACCCAGTGTTCTATGCTCGTTCAGTTCCCCCGCCAACTGGTTGATTAGAGAGATCTGCAGAGCAAAAGGCAGAGCTACTAGATGGACGGAACAGGGGCGACTTCATTGCCACACAGGACGTCACCCTCAGAATACCTACAGTGAACCGTTATGTGAGCAAGAGATAAACTTCTATTTCGAGATTCACTTATATTCAAGGGTTATTTGTTGCAGCGGTTAAACTGTATTGCAAGTACTTTCATGAGCACAGAGAGGTTAAGTCATCTACTCCATAACTAGTAAGAGGTTGTAGATTTGAACCCAAGGGGTTTGTCTTTAGAAACCACTTTTAACCGCTAATTTAAATTACAGTCCCTTCTCACAAGTTTGTTTTTGATCATGTATCACAAAAACTTCACCTAGACCTAATTTAACTATTTATGAGACAGGTGGTTGGAGGATGGTCCAAAGTTTGCAAGAAAGAAAAGATAATTTTTTCAAATAAATAACATGGTTTCCTATCTCTTTACTAACCATATAAGAGAGAAGCCATGCTTTTTACACAACTTTGCAGGATATTTGTTACTTTGTGAAAGTTTATCCCCAGAGGTTCTTGGGTAATTTTAACTCTTCGTAACAGATTACCTCAAAGACCTGGTGACTTAAAATATTTAGCATCTCACCCAGTCTCTATGGGTCTGGAATTCAGGAGAGGCTTAGCTTAATGGTCTTTTATGAATTTGCACACAAGATGTCAGTTAGGGCTGCATCATCTGAAAGTTTGACCAGGACAGAAGGAGTGACATCCAAAGTAGCTCTCTCACATGGTGGCCAAACTGGTCTCCTTGCTGGCAGGAAGCCTCCCCCACAGGGTTGTGTGACTGCCCTCACAACATGGTGGCTTACTTTCCCCAAAGTGAGCAAGCCCACAAGCCAAAGGCAATGCTCCAGCATCTTATCTGATCTGCAGTCTGCAAAGTCATACTCCATTAGTTTTGCAATAGTCAATGGATCACTTTGGGATCAATAATGGGTTCCCCTATTCAAAGAAGGGACTACACAAGGCAGTGAATATCAGGAGGCAAGGGTCATTGGAGCCATTAGGTCAGATATCACCAGAGCCCATTCATTCATCCAATACATATGTACTGAGTGCCTATGAAGACTTGGGGACAAAGCAGTGGACAAAACAGACAAGGTCTCTGCAGGCATGAGGCGTACATTATAGTGAAGGTCAGAAAGGCAACAGATTTAACGAGGAGGCAAATTATGTAGCATTCTAGGAAGGGGTAAGTGCTATGGAGAGAGAAACCAGGAGTGGGTGGAAGAGGAATGTTGAGGTTTGGACAGTAGGCAATTCGAAACAGAGAGATCTAGGAAGGTCTCATTTAGAGGTCCTAAAAGAAGTGAGAAAGTGCTCCATGATGTTATATGGAGGAAGACTGTTCCAAGTACTGGAACAGCAACTGCAAAGCCTTGAGGTGGGCATGTTTGCCACGTGCAACGAAAGGCAAGGCCATCAAGGTGGCCGTAGGAATGAACTGGAGGAGAAGGCTGTAGATGAGATGAGGTAAGTAACAGAGGCAAGAACAGAGTCTGTGTAGAACCTTCTAGACTCTTGTAAGGGCTCTGACTTTCACTGAGTCAAGTGGTAAGCCACTGGATGGTTCTTAGCAGACAATGGATTCGATCTGACTTAGCACTTAAAAAAAAAAATCTCACTCTTGTGACTAATATCAAATAGAGAGGCCAACGGTGGGAGGAGAGACAAATTAGGATGCTCTTGTAAATACTGAGACAAGAGAGGATGATGGCTTATCAGGTGCAGACAAGTGACGAGAAGCGGTCTGACTGAACATTTATTTCACAGGTTATCTAGCACAATTAAATCACCATTTTAGGCATGGTTTTCATTTAGGAGGGGCAGCATTTTTTAAGTTATTTATTAATTTTTTTTTTTTTTTTACCAGATCTCACACTGCGGCTGCTGAAGGGTATTCCGTGGGACCCTATAAATTCTGAAAAGCTTCTTAAGAATTTGCTACTAGGAACTAAGGTGGGGTGGATATAAGAAGCTTCATGCCCCCCATTCTAGTTCTGGAAGGATAGCTCTGTGTTGATATTGTTTATTATGTGGGACTAAAGAGATGTTTTTAAGAAAGACCAGAAACCCCAATGCCCTAAAAGAAAAGACAGACTTAGCCCAACCCCACCCCAACACACATGCACAGTGAAAAAATACACCATTTAGAAAACTGTAAGGTCAACTATACATTAGGAAAAACATTTGCCCTACAAGATAAAAATAGTTTATTCTCCCTAGAATTAAAAAAAAAACCCAACAACCCTCAAATTGATGAGAAGACAACCAAGTAGAACATGGGTCAAGGGTATTTTGTAAATAAGGCTCAAAAGGGTATCTCCTGAATTGGATTGTTGTGAGGATACATTCACAACCCATGTCAAGTGCTTAGCTTAGCTCCCGGTACAGAAGAAAGCCTCAACCAGTGCTACCCACTACCACCACTACCATAGCCACCACTGTCATTACCCTACTCTCCATGTGGCCAAAGCTGTCATGACAAGATGATGACCATCATTATGAGCAGCTTTATCAGCATCACGGTATAAAAGCCACTAGCAATAGGAACTTGCACCAACCCTGAATGGCATTTCCGACTCAAGTTGCCCTAAAGTAAATTCTGCACTCACGGTGCACCCATGATACTTTACCTTTTCATGATTCTCTATGAGGATCTCAATGACAATGTTCTGAAACTTGATATCCATGATGGCTGCCACCGTTTCTTCCTGAGGACGCAGGAGGGTGGGTCCAAACACCACACCGAGGTTTGCCACGGTCATCAAATTCTGTTTGTGGTTGTTAGCAACACTGGGAGGGAGGAAAAAATAAGGCACAAATGAGACAAAGACCCTACAAATAGATGGCTAACTTTCCCATGCCTTCCCCGATCTTCAGACTCCTCATTTGGTAGAAGCCAGACCCTGGGACATCTTCAGATACCAAGTCCAAAGGAGACTTCTCTCCTTTTATTTTTGTCCCCCAGAGGTTTAGAAATCTTCAGCCTTCAGGCTAGTTTGCTCTTTCAGGACATGATGCTCCTTTACACATTTCTGTTTTGCCTACAACAACCAACCAACCAACCACAGCGGCTGCCCTCCAAAATGTGAAACTTTGCATATCTGAATCCCAGCTCTGCAAATCCAGGCAACTGCTGATCTTTCTTAATTATGACTTTTATACTTCGCTGCTGCTTAAACCACTGTGATCATTAGCATTTTCCCTAGTGCAAATATAAAAATTCTTGATGGCTTTCATACATTTGCAAACAAGGCACAAAACGGATCTAATTTTATTTTATTTTTTAATGTTTTATTTATTTTTGAGAGGGAGAAGGAGACAGAGTACAAGTGGGGGAGGTAGCAGAGAGAGAGAGAGAGAGAGAGAATCCTGAGCAGGCTCCAGGCTCTGAGCTGTCAGCACAGAGACCACGGGACTCGAACTCACGAACTGCAAGATCATGACCTGAGCCAAAGTCAGATGTTCAACCGATGAGCCACCTAGGGGCCCCAAAACAGACCTAATTTTAAATAATGGATGGCTCTTGGGAAATTGAGCACTTTAGGCTCAAAGTATTAAACTCCATCACATTAAACATGTGGCTTACATTAAGCAAAACGTGGCATAAACAGAAATAAAACTGTACTACTGTGTATATTCATGTATATGGCTGTGTTTATATTGCCACTTACACTCAAAGTCTAAGGAACACACAGGGTCAGCAGTAGCTGGGTCTGGGTAATCTGCTAAATACACATACTTATATCTGGATAAGTACTACTCAAAACATATATCTGAACTCCATACCCCAGCCACCATGACCTAGCCATAAAACTTAATTGTTCATTTGCTGGCCCTACGTATAAAAGCATACAAATGATCTACAAACAACAAATAAGTTAGAAGTTAAGCTCAGTTTAGTATTAAGAAAATATTAGGGACTTCCTTAAATCACCTGTTAGAAAAAAGGAAACTATTTATTACTAGCAACTAGAGAGAAATTGGACACAGATATCAGTTTGCACAGACATACCTCCCTAGCATTTAGTGCTATTTATACAGAGTACTTTTTTCACACAATTCTATAAATGCCTGCACTGTTTCTCTTGAATACTTCTATTTTGTAGGAGGAGAAGAGGTTCTACGGCCTTAAGTGCTGGTGGTGAAACTGAGCCTTAACTGAAATTACTACATCAACCAAGTTTATCAGCAGATGTGTACTTTTCTATAATTTTCCAGGGCTAAAAGTCTCATTTCATAAAAACTTTCTCTGCTGAAAGGGGCCAAAGGGGTGGTTAGGTGAGTGAGACTTGTAACCGTGGAACTGTCCAGATACGAAGAGAATTTGCTTGTTGACTGCTAAGCAAAGAGAGTGGTCACTGATACCTTGGTCTGTTTCTGGTCCATGTAAAAATACTTTGCAAACGTTTTTTGAGTTCTGGTGGAGTGTCTCTATCTTACTTAACACACTTCCCATCTACCCAGAGCTGCATCATGTTTCTGAAAGCATGAACGCAAAAGGTCAAGTTCTTACCTGGCAAGGGGGAAAGACTCTGGTTCTGTGCCTCAATCAACAAGTATGAATATTTACAAGCTGCTTGTAACATCCCTTCTTTCAACATGGGCTACTGGGTGCAGGAAGTGAATTCTGTGCTTTTATTCTTATCCCTCCCAAGGAGCAAAGTCATTAGACTTCCCCCTTCTGCCACAAAAGTCCCTTGTGCAAATGAGTCAACAAGCTATTTATGTATCAAAGTACTTTTAAATTGTAGGCCAATATAACAACATATGATTTGGATGCTGATTTTTTTTTTTTTAACTACCGTGTTTCTGAACATTACCTCTGACTAAAGCAGTAGCCTCCTAGCCAGGATCCCTGACTAGAATTTCTAGGGTGAGCTTTATCCTGACTGGCTACCACCAGTCATTGTCTGTAACTCGGCCCCGATCAAGTCATTCTTCTGCTAACAATTACAGTGGCCCCACACCTCACTGGGAAAGAACACAGTGAACCAGTGTGTCTAATGAGTTTAGCAATGCTGCTATTGTTTGATTGTTCTGATAATAGTGATTATAAACCCTTGATGGGTTCCAATGTCTTTAGTGTAAAAGCCAGACTCTAGTGAGGTAATACACCTTTTCCCAACTCATCTCTAAGCCCTCCTCTGCCACCTGCCAGCTCTGGGTCCCTGGACAAGTGACCCAGTATCTAGGCTTTGGGGTCATCTTTGAAGAGGGGGCTGGGGGAGGTGAATAATACATCTACTTCCTGAGGTGGCTGTACAGAATAAATATGGTAACATGTGAGAAACGTAGTGAGAATTACTACAGTAATTCACTACCCATTCTCTTCCCACTTTCATACCTATCTGCCTTTGTCATTCCTCTGTCTACAGTGTTCTCTTAATCTCAAACGTGCCCCCTTCCTTTCTGCAGTCTCTGTCCAATCTTTCCCCAACCCTCCACCTCTCAATGAAGGCAGAAGTATTATCTTTATTACATGTTATTAATGTTTCTCCTTCTGCCTTAGCATAGAGACCATGCAAATAAAAAGACCATTTTATTTAGTAACACCAGCACTGAGCACAGTGTCTGGCCCAGGAGAAGCCCAACGAATGTTCATGCGATGTTAAATGGGATCTGTATAAAACAACTATTCCCAATCCAGCTACTTACTCCTAAAACCTCCCATTATTATTGATGACTTTTAAGGGGGACTATAACTCAACTATCCCAACCTTCCTTTTCGAAGTCTGGAGCTATGTTCCATTTCTTAGGTTTAATTAATGAAAAACAATTACTCTAATTTGCAGGCCCCAGTGCCCAAAGGCACTAGGAAGAAAGGTACAGTAACTCTAGATAAGCAACTCTGAATATAAACAGGCTTGAGGCTACCCAACATAATTCATTTCCTTTTTAATGATCCATTTTATTTTAAAACTTGAAAAACACATTGATCTATGGCTTATAAAACTTTTTTGGGGGGAAAAGCTGCACCTTCCATGACTAACTACCATTATCTTTTGGCATACTGAAGTAATAAATTGATCTGTCACTTGATTATTACTGTTCTCAAGTTGGTATGGCTATGCTCATTACTCCAGAATGAAAAATTAATGGCTTGAGATCTGTGTATCCTGGGGAGAAAGGACTAGACCTCAGCCTCTGCTGGCACCAGCCATCCATTACAGCTTGACAAATTTACAGATGCGTGAGAGGCAGGCTGGCAGACCACTGGGAAGCATGGTCTAGCAGAGACCACGGGACTCATTCATTAGTGAGATCTATAAAACACCGAGAGCTGCTTTCTGGGTTGGTAATTGGGCTCCTTGAGCTCTTCCTCACATGGCCCACAACGTCATGTTGAGTCTTGACTTATAATCCATATACAAGTTTCTTGTGCATTGCACATTCCACGGCAGGAGTTTGCACATTTTGGAGGCTTAGGTCTACACGGGTGTTTCCGTGATGCCTTCTGCAGGAATTGCCAGTTCTACAGGCTTCCTCTACAGGCTGCAGCAAAAACAGTTCCACATGCGATTTTAACCTGGGTGAGACCCAGTTCCTTCTGGGACCATTGCATTTGCTGTATTAGTCGAAAAGCAGTGCATCTCTCGAAGAACATGCTTTCAGGGGAGTTGTTGGGGGGGGCGCTCGTACCCCATGTTCCCAGCCATTCTCTCATGAATTGCAATTAATGAGGCAAGAGTCTGCTTCAAGGAAAATGGCCTTGGCAGAGGGACCTCTTCCCACCTTTGTCTAAGGGGAAATGGGTGGGGACTCTGGATGGGTCTGATGCCCTTTGAGATGCAGAAAGAGGTAAATAATTTCCATAAGAGGACAGCGGTGGGGGAGTGTTATGAGAGGAGGAGACAGAAGTCAATCCCTTTGGGGCTTGTAAGGCAGTGTCCCCCATGCTGTCACAGGGGTCGCATATGTTTTCCTGTTGTTTAAATGAGAGCCATGACTCCAGAAGGGTCAAGCAATGCTTTAAGTCACAGACTGGTCCTGACGTACTCCAAGAAAGCATAAGCCCAGTGCTGCATTTGCAAATGGCTTCCATCTCGAGGCCTGGCAAGCTGGGTCAATGAGTGTCAAGTCTACGTCCTGGCTCTACTGGACACAGTGTGGTCACAGGTCATCATGATGTGCCATGGACAGGATGGGTAGTGTAACAGAGCATGTAACACCTACCCACCATGCTCTGGTTCAGGTTCAGTGTTAAATAACGATGACAACATACACATGTAGTATGTTTCGGAGTTTCTGAGGAGCTCTGCAACCATTCTTTAGGTTTATTCAACCTTCCTCGTATCTCAAGAACATAGTAGATCTCAAACTTTTTGACAATGTCCCGTGGTAGGGAACACATTGTCCTATGTAGCATTTCATTCATACGTGCACACATATACACATAACCAGAAAGACACACAAACACAAAAGCAGAAACAAAAATTTTTGGAATAGTAAGGGTGATGAATGTTGATATTTTCTGTTCTATCTGTTTTTATTTTTATCTACTATTAAAAAAAAAAAAGGCCATTTCACATCCCCCTAATGGGCCATGACTTACAATTTGAGAAGTGCTACTCCAGGGGTTCGGAAGACAAATATTACCTCCAGTTTACAAAGATGGGGAAAAAAGGCTAAAGGAGACAGCACAGTGGTTGGAATCAGAAAGATACTCCCAGCTGGATGACAGCAGGCCAGACACATGGCATCTCTAAGCCTATTTTTTTTTACCTGTAAAACAGGAGAGGTAATAGCTACCTCTTTAAGTTTTAATGCTAAGTAAAATTAGGTGAATAAAT